TGACTGCGTTTGCATAAGCAGGCACTTAAACAACTGGGCTAACTGGCAGGCCCCCTTTTCTCTTGGTAAGTTGCTCAAGAGTCTTTGAATTACTCCCTTTTTTCCCAAGGAGAAAAAAAAATGCAGACTAGACCCCTTACAGGTCAAGAGCTGGCCCGGAGTGCAGAGTGCGCGTGTTCTGAGCCAGGCCTAACATGGCCACGATGTCCCAGCCAGGCTCGCTAGGTCACTGATGGGTGGTGCTGGCTGGAGGAGGGTTGCTGAGGAGGGTTGCTGACGTTTTGGTCACTGAAGTGTGGCCAGCTCATGGGACAGCCACTTTCCCAGGAGTGAATTACCCGCTGCTGGCACAGGTCCTTGTCCAGAGCTCTTTGGGTGGATGCCATGTGGATGTAGCCCCTTCACTGGCAGGCAGGCCATTCTTGGCTGATGTCTGCTGTAGGTTCTTGTTTCTTAAAAAGATGGCTGAAAATTCTGTCAACATCTTGAAGTAAGCCACCTCCACCAAGACCCAGTTACCCCTAGACCTGCCATGATAATAATTAGCTAATTGTGTTTATAATTACTTCAGTTTTATATTATGCCGTATCACTCAAGAGGGGCTTCCTCACAAAATAAACCAGAGAGTCTTTCCATGTATGCAAAGTGTCGTAGCAATAGAAGCACAAATGATGTTGTAATGTTATCCTTTCCGTCTTCTACCCTTGAAGAAGGCAAGGCAGAGCTTCCTCAAGTTTACACGTGAGGGTTAAACACAAGAACGCCCCCACCTCCGCATCTGGTTGGCGACTCTGACATCAAATGTACATGGAGGACCTTGGAGGGATGCAGTAGTGGCATCTGGTGTCATGGGGATGGGGAGCTTATCAAGGAAGACTTTAGGAGAAGGCGTAGAATTTGGGGCTTGACTGAAGAGCAAGATTTTGGAGCAAATCAAATACAGAATGTCTGTGGAAGGCATCACAGTGCAGAACAGGTGTCCGTAACATTTGGTAAGACTCCAGGCTAAGGGCTAACTAGGGTTCCCTGCCCAACAGCCCTCAGAGGAGTGGGCTGGGGTGCCTCTTTCACTAAGTCCTGCCTCTGTCTACCTTTGTTCTTTTGCAAGAGAGGGTAGAGGGCCCAAAGCTTGCTCTTGCCACGTGGTGTCTCTTTTGCCTGCTCCATGTGTTGTCTGAACAGTGGAGGCCTTGGTGGTGCCCTTTGAAATGTGAATAGGAAGGGCAGGCGGAATGGAGTTACTGGCGCTCCCAGGCAGGGGCTGAAGGTTACTCATTCCAGGCTGATTCAAGCCCCGGAGCATCAGCCTGAAGGCTGCTCAGTGGCACCTCTCATACAATGATGATCCCACTGAAAGACTCTGAGGTAATTCTTTCCTGTGGGGGAAGGCACTCCTGGGGCACCCTCCTAGTTAGCTCCAGCGAGAGACCAGGGGAAACCTGCTGTCATTTTCCATCCCAATACCATTTAAGGGAGAATCTCTTGCTTTAGGAAATGTCCAGCATGGGCCAGGGAGATTGCTCAATGGTACAGAGCCTGCCTGGCAAGCGCAAGGTCTTGAGTTTGATTCAGTTAACATAAAATAAAAGAGAAAATCAGGAAACATCCAGACCATTGACCTTTAGCTCCCAAGGCATGGCCCACAGCAGCTCTGTGGGTACCTGACACAGGCTGGAGATCAGCTCAGGCCATAGTTCACACTGGCTGGGTTCTCCTCCCCTGCCCCCTCATCTGCTGAGGGCTATGCCTGTCACCAGTCACCATCCATCATCACTGCTGTGGAAACATGCAGGAGCTTCTGCTCTTGCATACCATGGAGGCAGTAAAGGTTCTCCCTGTGCTTCGGTCTCAGTGGAACTCATCTAACCCTGTCAGGGAAACAGCCCTAACTAAAAGCAGGCTTGCTATGTCAGCCGGCGATTGAGTGAAGACCACCTGACTAAATGGAATGTTTTTCTCCTGTCTAGCTTTTTCAAACTCACTGAGTGTTAAAACTCAAATGGAAATTTCTTTGTTCCCATAGTGTTTTATTTTTATGTAGCAGTCAATTCCTCTCCCTTTTATTTAAATTCTCTGGGAGTAAGGTATAAAGAGCACCCTTTGCTGTAGAAATCTCTCTCTTCAGTGATGCTTCAAATCCCCTATCTAATTAATAGTGGCTTATCATACTTGGTAACCACCATTTAAATGTTTAATAATAAGGACTACTTGTTGTATGTTGGCTGTGTGCTTACAAAAGTACAATAGCACCTCAACACTCTCAGCAGCTCTCTAGGGAGGGTTTTATTATGTTGATTTGACAGAGGATGAAACTAAGGCACAGGGAGGTGAAGAAATGCTCTTAAGGTTATCGAAGAGGTAGCAGTTGGAAAGCTCAGGTATAGTTCTAACTCTGCTGACCTTTAAGCCCCTGTTCTTAATATTGTGCCTTATTAACATTCTTTCACAAATACTCAGGAAATACAGCTTTCACTTAATCAATCCATCAGAAATATTTCATTTAAATGACCAAAAATCTGATACATGTGTATTTTTCCTATTTTCAATCTCCCTACATTAGATAAAAGTAAAATAAGTCCCAGATGTGCCTATTTAAGTTGTCCCTAGGTCTATGTAGCTGCACACTAACTTTGGGGCCCCTTTCTCAAAGGGCTAGGGATGGCAGTGTGTCCAGAGCCTCTGTGTGTCAGAGTAACCCTGTGGGAGTCCTCAGAAAAAGTCCATATGAAAAGCTGCTTTCCCAGCTCTGCACTGTGTCCATTGGCTACTTGGGTTTTGGAATAAATGGTACTGAAAATAGATAACACAATGGCTTCCGGTACATCTTACAACTCATTTTAATAAGGAAACCAGGACTCAAAAAGATTAAGTCACTTGGCTAAGGCTACTCAACTTTGGCATATTTAAAAGGATGAATTCATGAAAATCATGTGAATTATTCATTCGACTAACTCATTTGCAAAGGCTAATATGTATAATTAAATAGACTGTGGGGTGACAAGGATAAAAATGACTTGGGAAGGCACATGAGGATTGGGGGGGGGGTGATTTTAAGCAATTATGCCTCTTACGCAGGGCTGTTTTATGTTACTTTCCGTGTGATGGGTCAGGAAGAGCCCCGAGCGGGAGACCTTGAATAACCTTTACTCCCAGCATTGCTCTGAAAGACCTTCCCTTCCCTGTGCGGCTTGACCTTTCGATGATGGGCGGCATCAGAGGGGACACAGGGCTCTCTCACCTGCATGGAGATGCGAATGCATTTGGCCCTTTCACAGAATGCAGATTCTGTCCTCTGGTTATGCAGTCCTGTGAAGGAGGTAAATGTGGCTGTTTTCAAGTAAATTAGCTAGTTTAGGGTTTTTGTTGTTTTATTTTGTTTTTGTACTACGAGTTGAACTCAGGACCATATCCTTGCCAAGCAGGCACTTGTGCCGCTGAGCTATCTCCCCAGCCCCTACCAGAGATCTTGATACACAGATGACATTCCAAAATGTTGAAGAATGAAATACATTAGTCCTTACATCTCTGAAAAACAGTCCCCAAATTCCTGAGTCTTATAGATTTATAAACTGAGGCTCAGAGTTCAGGCAATGTACTGAAAGCCGTTCTCTTGTGCTGGAAGCAGAGCAAAGCTATAAGGGTGTTCATTTCATCTGTTGTCAGTTTTGGGGAAACTCTCCATGAAAAAGGAAAGCCAGATTTCTAGAGATTTCTTTGGCCTCCATTCAAATTCCTACATAAACCACGTACTGGGTGATTGATCAATAGCGAGGGGAACCCCATGTAGTATTTGCCATTCATTCCAGTTCTCTCCTTTGCAGTTCTCAGCGTGTCTAGAATCTGTGAGAAACTGAAGCCTGGGGTGGCAGGGTGGGGAGGGCTCAGCTCTCTCCTGCTGCTTGGAAGCCCTCCTCCACACCAGGTTGCTACTGAGGTCTTTTTCATGTGGCCACTGAGCAGTTGCTTGTTTTATTTTCACTACACTGATTTGAAAGATAAAATCAGCTTTTTGACCAGCAGGCATTGTAGGTGGGAAAGTTGTGAGACCCTCGGTCTTTAAGCAAAGACGGGCTTTGCTAAGCTTGGTGGGGTTAGGTGGTGGGGCTGGGTGGCTACCCTGAGATGTGCTCTCTGTTTAGAACTACTGAGGCAGCTCCCCATCATCAAAAGAGAAAAAGAAAGGCTCATGTTCCCCCCTTCTCCTTCTATTCTAGGTGGAGACCAAGTTTGCAAGTATATGGTGCCTGTCCCCTGGGTGAGCAGAGAGAAGTGGCTCCCTGAGGATTGCCCCCAGAGGTCCTGAGAACACCTTGGGGTCCAGCTCCTGCGCTGAATGGCACTGGCAGCAGCCCACTGAGGGCTCCTTTCCTCAGGATCCTGGACTTGTAAGTAGGACTCCAGCTGGGAAGATGCTGAGCTCCATCAAGTGCGTGCTAGTGGGCGACAGCGCTGTGGGGAAGACGTCCCTGTTGGTGCGTTTCACATCAGAGACCTTCCCGGAGGCCTACAAGCCCACAGTGTATGAGAACACAGGTGTGGACGTCTTCATGGATGGCATCCAGATCAGCCTGGGCCTTTGGGACACAGCTGGCAATGACGCCTTCAGGAGTATCCGCCCCCTGTCCTACCAGCAGGCAGACGTGGTGCTGATGTGCTACTCGGTGGCCAACCATACCTCCTTCCTGAACCTGAAGAACAAGTGGATAGGTGAAATCCGGAGCAACCTGCCCTGCACCCCCGTGCTGGTGGTGGCCACCCAGACTGACCAGCGGGAAGTGGGGCCACACAGGGCTTCCTGCATCAATGCCCTGGATGGCAAAAGGCTGGCCCAGGATGTGCGAGCCAAGGGTTACCTGGAGTGCTCAGCCCTTAGCAACCGGGGGGTCCAGCAGGTGTTTGAATGTGCCGTCCGGACTGCCGTCAACCAGGCCAGGCGCCGAAACAGACGGAGGCTCTTCTCCATTAATCAGTGCAAGATCTTCTAAGGCCCAAGACCCTTAACCAACATGCATGAGCTCGTCCCATTGATGGACACGTGGAAAGATGGAGAACAGCAAGCTGTATGGTGCTTTCAGATCCTGTGGCTGACAAGACTGCATGGGATTTTCCCTAACTACACCTCCAAGTGGACTCCTGGCCCAGCCTTTGCAAAGCTGGAGTGAATATCCCATCTCCATGTTAAAAACTAAAGTGGCTTCCATAATTTTGGACAGTGAAGTGAGTTTCCCATGTACTCTGTATTTAAAGACACACTTTATTTAAATAATAACAAACATCTGGTTCCTGTATATAATTAGTTCTTGCACTTGAAAAGACTTTTCCTACATCCTTGCAAACGAACTGCTGTCGGAGGGGTGTGAGCAGGTGGGGTTCTGCATTACGTGTTCTTATTTTCCCCTTGAACTAGGAATCTGGTTAAAAACAGTTGCCTGCTGGGTTTTTCAAGGAAATTAAATTTTAAAATGACCATTAACTGATCCTTGCTATTCTTACCTGTTATTCAGAGGTGTATATAAACTATAGTTCAATAATATATCTTAATACTTTCCAATGATTTTAAACAGTTACCACTAAATTTCTCTGTAATTATAAAAAAAGGCATTTCTGGCTTATGGTATTACCATTCAGTGAAAGAATTTCAGTTGCACATTAAGTGTTTCACTATCATTCACCAAGATCAATTGGAAGAAAACCTTTCTGAGAGGGAACCACACTTTCCTAAGTAATAGCAGCAGACCTTAGAACAGAAGTAAGGAAAAGTCACCGTCCCTTGCCTGCTCTTTCTACAAGGTGGTTCCTAATGGCTGCTGCTCTTGTGGAAGAGGCAGGATCAGAGTCCTACACGATGTGTCCTCCTTCCAGCAGGATGACCACATAACTTATTAACCTGAGGATCTAATCCGAATAATTAACAAGGTGCCTACATTTATAGGTGTGTACAAGGCAAAAAAGAATTTAGAGTTTACTCTTTGATTCATGTAAAGCATCTGAGTGAAAAACAAAGTTAATTCCAGGGCAGAGGATATAGCTTAGTGGCACAGTGCCTGCCTGGCAAGTGCAAAGTTGTGAGTTTGATTCTTGGTATAATAATTATTAATAATAATAACAACAACAATGGCAACAACTAATCCCAAGGGAACAGGAAAGCTGTGTAGCAACTGCTAGCTAACAAGTTATAAGGGAAATATTGAATAAGTAGGGACACACACACACACACACACACCGCAAACCTCATTCTATCTAGTCATTTAAAAGCAATGATGTTGCTCATCTGTTAAAGTTGAGGACTATGTAACCTGAGGAAGAAATTGGGAAGATATATTATTTGTTGCACCCAGATGTATCACTTATTCCCCCAATCAAATAAAGCCTAGAACCCTTGAGCTACATTTGGGAAAGTGCACCATTGTTCTGGGGGTAATGTGGCATTTACATGCGGGAGGCGAGGCAGCTGGCACTGATGACCAGAGCAGCTTCTCAGCCTCCTTATTTGATCAATTCTTTATAGTTATACTAGTGTCAAACACCAGATTTGGGCATTCCCCATACTTCTTTCTTTTCCTCTTACCTATAGCCAGTAAAAGGCCTGGGATCCGAGCCCTGGTCCCTGGTGGGAGGGTTGTTTGGATGCTCTACGGTAGTTGGATCAGCCTTTAGCCAGTATCTCAGGCCTGCGCCCAAAATCTCAATCTCACAGACCTGAGGCTGTCCTTGCCTCTGTGTCACCTATACCTGAGAGCTTCCACTCCACTTCTCAGCGCTGGGCAACCTGAGGGCTGGAGAGCTGAGTGGGCAGGGGAGGAGATGGGGCTCACATCCCTGACACCCCTGTGATCCTCTCCCTGGCCCCCAGCACACAGATGGTCTTTAACACCCAGTGCAACTTCAAGACCAATGCATGAGCATGTGTGTGTGTGTGTGTGTGTGTGCGCGTGTGTGTATAGGGTGTGAGCATGTGTAGGGGTATGTTTAGCATGCTAGATGAATGCATTTCTACTATTAAAACTGAGGGTCCCCTGTGGTTTTTTCTTTTGTGGGAGAGGTGGTATCCGAATGTGGGAAAGACCCACTTGCCTGATTGGAGAGGAATGAGTTCCATGTGTGAGCCAGGGAGGAAAGAAGGCCACAGAGGGCGCCAAAGTGGCTTTGCTGCCACCTGAGCAAGGACACATGGATGAGACTGTGCCTACCACAGGGAACCAAGCCCCCAGGTTCCCTCTGAGAAGCCTTGCACCTGAGAGCAAGAGTCTGTCTATCTCTGAACCCTGCCCCATGGAGACCTGGGAGAAGTTGGGCATGCAGTGTCTGCCTCCCTACTGGACTTTGAGTTCTTAATGGCAGTGCCACGTCCTGGTCATCAGTGTCCCTAGGGCCCAGTACAAGAAAGAAAATGTACCTAAATCAAATTGCATTGAACTGAGGTGGAGAAAGATGGAAATTGGAAGAAAAAAAAAAAAAAGATGGAAATTGGGCTTCTGTGCCTCAGAGTGGTTGCAGGGAGGGAGCAGAGCTCCACTGTCCAGAAGCAGTAAGGAGGGCCATCATTCACCTTGTTGGAATTCGCATACTGTGTGTCCTAGCCAATCATGTGTTGGTTTTGCCTGCTTAAATCAAGGCAAGTGTTTTGTTGTTTTTTCATCTTTGATACTTGTGGTGCCTTTTTGTTGAGTATTGCATGCCTATTTTTCTTAGCTATTCTAAGCGAAATTAAATACGCTCTTATTTAAAGAATGGTTTTGAGTGTCTCAGTAATAGATCCTTGGCTCATTTAGTCTGGGTTGCTGCAGTGCGTTATTGGTGTGGTGTGGCTCAAACTGCAGAGTTCTGGAAGCTGAGCTATCTGAGGTCAGGGCCAGTGTGGTTGGTTTCCGGCCAGGGCCATGTTCTAGCTGTGACCTTCATGAAGGGGGAGAAGGTCATCCCTCTTGAGTTTCGTCTCCTGAGAGCACTAATCCATTCAGCAGGGCTCTGCCTTCACATCCTAATTCCCTTCCTAAGGCTCCACCTCCTAATACTGTCACTTTGGGTATTAAGCCCTGACAGGCGCATTTGGGTGGGGACACAGCCTCCCATCCTTAGGAATGTTCTTCTGTCACTCTTGTTACTGACCCGTTCAATACAGCAGCAGTATCTGTCATGATGAAGTTAGCCTGAGTGGCAAGAACATAGAAAACGTGCTCATGGTTAAAGTTTACTCCGTGCTTTGGAAGCGCTGGGCCCTGGGTTGACCAGCTGAATGTCATCGCAGAGCACGGTGTGTAAGTGGCTCACATCACAAAGTCTCTTCTTACACAAGGAAATAGGCTCAGTGCGGTAATACGACAAGTCTGAGACATACAGCTGCTAAGTGGCACTGCTAGGAGTCTCAGGCAGGCCTGTGTAATTCTAAAACTGCACAAAACCCACTTCCTCCCAGAACAGCCTGGCCAAATGCCCTGCCACATCCTAGCTCGTGTGGCCCACAGCCCCACCCCCACCAGACCAAGGGCTTGAGTTTGAAAGATTATTTTTATTTTGTGTGTGTTAGGGATCTAACTCAAGGGTGTGCACATGTTGGGCATTTTGACTCTACCATTAAGCTACACCCTAGCCCTTAGAAAAGCTATTTTTAAATGAAATACTCTAAGTGTGACCTTAACCCTTCCCTCTCATTTTTCTTTCTGGTGAAGGGCAATGGACCCACCTGGTTCACAAATGTCATCATTTGCAAGGCTCTGTGTTCCACCCTGTGGCTTTTCAGTGTGATTCCATGTGACCTGGCAGAGATGAAATTCATCACAGTTTGCTGCTTCAGAAAACTAGGAACATACTCTCTTTTTCTTATCTCACTTTTCCATCCCCGGGCTCAGGATGTATTTTCTTTCTTTCTTTCTTTCTTTCTTTCTTTCTTTCTTTCTTTCTTTCTTTCTTTCTTTCTT